TTGCTTTTTTTACCTCCCAAAAGCGGGGGGCCGGGGCCGGGCCGGCCCTAAATCCGCCCCTGAGTCTAAACAGAATAAATCTACATTTTTAAATAATAATACAAAATGCTATTTAAATTTTTGCAGCGGGTATGTGATAGTATGTCCGGATTCCATACGCCCTGGATTGCCACTCGTGGTCAGCGTAAAAATTGAAGTTGTACAACCTTTCATGTTGACTGTTGAGATAATGAGAAACTCTGTTATCTTAAATGAGACAGTAACATTCTACAGTACAGGCGTGGCTGACACTGTTGAGTTACAGGTACTGTACACATCAAATGAAGAAATTTATTTAAATAATATCCCTAGTCGTTCGCTACTTGTTTAGTGCAAGAAACTAGAACATTGAATACCACATCCTATCAGTACCATTTATAATCCTGGGTAGAGATATATTATATATTCTATTATTTAAATATTAATAAACTATGCCTTCGTATTTTGCAACACTCAAGGAAGTGGTACGTTGGTAGGTCCTACCTGCAGTATACTGAATATACAGTACTCTTCTACCTTCCACTACTGTGCAAACGTAATTAATAATGAATTATTTTTTCTTTCTTTAACCATATTTAAAGGTAGGTATCGATATCGATAAGACGTTTAAGCTGTCCTAGAAGGTTGGCTGGTATTCAGGGGCCTCCTATTCATTCATTCCACCAGAAGGACCCCACTTGAAATAAGTCTTTTTTAGACTTCCGTAGGTTATCCAGTCCAATCAAATGTTAAATTGTTAGTTGTGCAGGTGTGTGGATGGAAAATCGTTAAAAACATTTGTTTTTTATATTAGACTTTGTATATGATCATCATTTGTTACATGAGACATTATTTTTTTTTTACATTTGATATGATACCTTTCATAAACTTAATCTCATTTTCATTTTTATTTCTTCCAAAAGGTACCGGAGGATGCTGAAGATGGCTCCTACATGATACGTGCATCTGCAGTAGGTGGAATTACCTTTACACGATCAAAATACTTGAATTTCATTTCAAAAGGATTCTCTATTTACATCCAGACAGACAAAGCAATTTATAAGCCAGGACAAACAGGTATGCAAGTCCTCTTTCATAAAGTTAATCTTACTTACTGCAGGCAGTGGCAGATTACAAAGAGGGTGAGGAGAGGGGGTTGCAGCTCACCCAGTCCACCTAATTAAAAAATTGATTGGATAAAAAAAAAAATTGTATTAAAATTAAATTATCTGTAGAGACCCATTTCCGGCCATCTAGAGCTGCCATAATCATAAATTATCTTACCTCAGCCCCAACCATGTTTGTGGCTGAGGTAGACTAGATACCTCTGTAAAAGTCCCTCTGTGGGCCCAGTGACTATTTCAAATTCTTGTATTCAACACTGTGTGTGCAATATTAAGATGATCCTACATATTGTATGTATGTTATTGTGTGCATTGTTCATGTGCTGGCCCAATCGTGCGCTTCAATGGTGAAGCACAAAAAAATAATTCTTCAATTTAAACTTCCTGGTGCTGTATGGTACACATTTACAAGCCTTGGAAATATTTACAAACTGTTTGTTTACATTCATCAGGTTTGCTCACCCATCATACTGTAGGATGACAAAATGTGGTATTTTTTCAACTAAGATAAAAATATATTTTAAAGTCAAAGTCATAAAATTTTACCTCAGCCCAACCCCATTTTTTGGGGAGGCAAAATGTATTCTAAATTGTCAAAAAAACAACTTAAAAAGACTCAGAATTCCCCTTTAGGCAGCAGCCCATACCCAAACTGCGACTCGCCCCTTGACCCCGCCAGAAATTGTCCAAACCCCTCCTCCCTCCACAACTTACCCACATAAACGGCGCTGTCATCAGACAGAACGTAATATAGAAACCTGATTCATAAACAATGATTATTTCTATTTTATTCAGTAAACTACAGGATATTTGCTGTGAACCCTGACTTGTCCCAGCGCTTGGTGAACTTCACAATCGAAATCAAGGTAAGTAGTTTCATGTAACTAAATAACAACTATGAAAACTTAACAAATGTTTTCAATATAATATTGATAAAACAAAAATAAATAAAAATTATTGATACTACAGTCCAATATCTTAATACATATATTTATTTTTTTATAATACAGTTGATGTTCATTCGCACTTGTCATTTTCAGTACAGCGGCTGTGCAAATTATTTTTGTAACAATATAGGACCAAAGGTCTTATAATAACAAGATAGCGCTCTACTCAATTTGCACGTAACAATTACAAATGTCTATGTTCAGTAAAAAGAAACATAACAAGTAATAATTATATTTGAGAGAGGGTGTCCTAGTTTGTTACCATATTTGTTACAGAATTTGCATGCAGAAATCACGAGGTGTGCTATCTTTAGTTAAAGATCCTTGGTGTTAAAAATTGAAAAGTAATCACTTTTGCGAGAGGGCGCCCCACATGGCGTTATTTTAGAATTTGCCTGCAGAAAGTTGTTATAAGATCTTTTCATAGGATTCAGTAGGGATCTTTAATAAAATTAAGATACAGCTATTTCACTCAGTCAGTAATGCTGCATAATTTTTTTTTTACAGGATCCACTAGGTAATTTGATCAAGCAGTGGATTGACTACAAGCCGCCCTCAACTGGTGTAATAACAGAAAAATTAGAGATGACAACGCAGCCTGTTTTAGGGGACTGGAATATTACTGCTTCTTCGGGGGTAAATTTTGATTTGTATTTTGGAAGCTATAAGTAATACAGAATATTTTAAGCTTGGTTTCCGTACAATGGATTTGGTTCACTCCCAATTCATAGCCATGGCGAACGCCTGGGCAACATTGAGTTCCCTTCTGGTGTTGAGGTCCGATTTTTAATTCTCAATGTGTGTCTGTCTTTATTTGAAGTACTGTTTGATGTGTAGGCCTACCTGTATGAGAAATGGCTAAAACATGCTGGAATGTCAAAGTTTTGGAAATCTATTTTATTGCACTATTAAAACTAACCTTTATATATCAATATATTATGCTATGCTGTTATTTTTCTTATTTTCAATGTTATAACAACAATTTTTTAACGATTAGTGATGGTTTCTGCCTAAGAAATGCCCAAAATCGTAAACTTTGAAGGCTGATTTCTCAAATATTGCTCTTTTGAACAGCTGTATATTTAAACTCCTCTAAACTTCATAAAGAAATGTTGGATTTAAATGATTCTTGTACCATTTTATAGCTCTCATTTTTACTGTTTGACCCTTTAATAATAACTAAAAATATATTTTTGCGACGATTGACTGGTTTTGCTTGTCTTTGCCACATATATTCTAGGAATAACATGTCTTGTCAGTTTTAAGGGTAGAGGCCAGAATAATGGAAGGGTTACTTCGCCCTTTTGTGTTTAACTTTTGGGTTACTTAAAGATTTTAATATATTACATGAAAAGGGGTGCTTTTTTTCTGCATTGCAAAACCTGTTTAGACCATTTTTTACACTATTGTTTGGTGGGACATTAGCAGCAATAGGCATGGCTTAGCAGAAACATCCATTAGGCCTACCGCCCCTGACTTGTGAGTAAAAAGTGCCCAAATTAAAAACCTGTATCAAGAAGAAAACACACAATCCCCTATTAAGGGACCTAAGAACACTCTTTATTTATTTGTAGCATGTGTCTTCGCATCAAGTTTTCACTGTGGCTGAGTACGTCCTGCCAAAGTTTGAGGTGTCGGTCACCCTGCCTTCATTCGTCACCAAAAATGATTCTGAAGTACTAGGAAGAGTCGATGCTAAGTGAGTACGGATCCCCTACATACATACTTTTGTACATGGGTACCGTTATATATATCTTCCCCAAATCCATATAGAAATTACACCTGCCAACTCTAATACATGAGCATCCACTTTTTACGTCTCACTTATATGTTGTACTATCTTGCTCATCATAAAAATGTTCATAAAAAATAGAATGTGTAGGCTACCTTAACAATTTTAAAGCAGCAGGAACAGTTTTCTTTTCCTACCACGAGGGATTTCAGTCCCTCGCTGTGCATTTCGTTTGTGTTCTTGAGCAAGTCTCTTTATCTGCATTGTTTCTATCCACCCACAGGAGTGAGTATAACCTGGTAGGGAAATGCGAAATGTGCTGGTGTAGCTGCTGCAGCGTAATGGAACACTTCCTCAGGGTACTGAGTTTGTGTTCCATAGGTGTTTAATCCAATGACCTGGGTAATTATAATGTAAGACTCATAGAAGTCTCTTTATAATGCACTTTAAAGTCTACCATTAATAATAATTGGGAGCGTGTTGAACCCAACAATTTGTGTTAACCAACCTTGACAGTCTATTCATGGTTAGTTTAACACAACGTTTAACAATTGTTGATTATATTTATATTCTATTTTCCCTTCTTTCTTTCTTTGTTATATACAGTACTATGTCCAGTAAAAGTCTTGTTGTCCATCTTCAGTACCACCTGATTATAAATTTATGGCAAAATTACTGATGGGGCCCAAAGGAGGGGTTTTACTGTAATTATAATTGTGGGTTCTTACAAAGTATAGTGAACCGAGAGTTGTGAACAATGACAGTTAGTTACTCAAACACATACATTGGTACTTTTCCTACATCAAGTACTGAATTCAGTTAACTGTGTTCTGTTCTATAGCATCTGAAATGTTATGATCCTGTTCCAAATAATAGTATTTTAAAGCACTCTGTTCTTGTTTTATGATTGTATATGTGTGAAATACTGTAGGGCCATTAAAATTAATGTGGAATTCCATATTATTAATGTGGAATTCCATATTTTCTTTTTATTGGACCATTGTGCTTAAAACTTAATTCTGACAGTTTATCTATAAATAATTATATATTCATATTTTTCTATTATTAATTCCTCAAATACTTATTCATATGCTATTTGTGTGTGTTCTCACCTTCAGTGCTCATTAAATGTAAATTTTAGTTAAAAGAGCGATTAACATTTTTGTAAAATTTTGCTACATTTAATTTTTTCTGTAAATCCTATGTATGTTATTTACTTACTTGGTCTGTAATAGCTTTGTTATGTTTAAGTTTTATATTCATACTTTTTTTAAAACTATTTTTATTTTTAAATCCAAACTTTAACAATTAACATTTTTGTAATTGCTACATTCAAATTTTTCCTGTAAATCCTATGTGTGTCTGTCATAATTTACTCTGTGGTATTCTGTGAATAATTTTGTTATGTTTAAGTTTTGTATTCATATATTTTTTTATATTCTTTTTTTTTTTTTTTTTTTTAATCCTAACTCTATAGGTATACGTATGGAAAGCCAGTGTATGGAACATTGCTATTAAAAGTATTTGCAGGACATCAAAAATTAAATATGACCATGAATGTATGTATACCTTAATTAATATTTATTCATTGTTATTCTGATTGTTGTTAAATAATCGAGTAAATTGACCCAGTGGTAAGGCAGGGGCACTGCTAAGCTTTAATTTTTAAATCCTTCAGGGGAAATAGCTTTCCAAGCTTTTATCCCTGGGATAATTATTGTTGTTATTATTTAATAGATAAATGTTCATAATTCATTTGTTAATATATATCTGGTTTTTTTTTTTTTTTTTTTTTTTTTTAATAATTTTACTGTATTAAACTTTACTATTTATATCAGATTGATGGAAGCAAAAGTTTCTCGGTGCCCATGAGCGAATTTTCAAACCTTAGAGAAGGACATCATTTAACTATCGTTGCCACAGTAACAGAATCACTAACTGGAATTGAGCAAAAGTCAATTGGTTCGACAACGTACTATAACAGAACTGTGAAAGTGTCCATTTTAGATGCAAGTCCATCAACTTTCAAACCTGGACTTATGTACACTGCTTATGTAAGTTTATTTAGGAAGCAAGTTATTGTTATAACTAGAAACTTTCGCATAATGAATAAATAGTATTCACAGTGCCTCAGGTTCAAGCTGGGCACTCGCACTGCACATGACAGTCATCGGCCTACATGATTCCATGGAGAATCATGTCGGTGAGTCGAGTGGTGAGGCAGCCTTAATGGCCCTGTCACACCTTGACGATTTAGCTAGCGTATGGCAACATATTAAAATTTTTTCTAAAATGCTGGCATATGCTAAACTATTAATGTCTTTTTTTTCAATTTCGGGCCTATACATAACGTAGTCATAACGAGTTGGACGTATACATAACGTATTGGTAACTTATATGGAACGTTTCAATAACTTTGATAATGTATACCAACGGGTACTTACCATGCTGCCGGTGTTCACAACTTATGCTGAATGATAGTCGAACTTTACACAATACGCCATTATATGGTAACTGTATACTGTAGTTAGAAACACATTCAGTAAGTTCTGTGGTTGCCCGGAACATGTCAAATACGTCTACATACATCAATATACGTTAGAGATAAGTTTGATATAAGTTACACATAGGTTAGAAGTACGTTACTCATAGGTTAAAAATAAGTTTTGAGTATGCTATATATTATCTTGACGTATTTCGACTTGTGAGTAAATTACAAACAACGTGTGTGAATGTGTGTCAACAATTGCATAACTTACCTAAAACTTACAGGGTATGAGCCATACGCTGGCATACATTGAAGAGTTTCGTGCATGCACAAAACTTTCCAACGTACACCATCGTGCGCTTAACTTATACAAAACTTACCAACAGCGTATTCGCCAAATTTTTCATACGTTAGGATACGCTGGCCAAATCGTCAAGATGTGACAGGGCCATAACATCGGCACTGGTTTCAGCTGCCCCTCGCCCATTGTTCAGTTGATAGAACCAAGTTTCTCGGATATGGACTTAAAGTAAATGTCCAGTATATACATCTGGCTCGTGTGAACTTTAAAGAACCCATTGCATCTTTCGGCATTGTAGGGGGTTACCCGGATGCTGTGGTTCATTTCAGCCCCTGTCGTTGTGAATTGATAAATGATGTGAATTTGTAGCTACTATGAGTCACGGACCACGTCCATACGCAATTCAGCACAATGACGCTGCAAGTTATGGATTATTTTCCTACCTTTACCTTTACCAATGACGACACATGTGCAATATATTGTAAATGAAAGCAAGCAGTATATGGCGTAAGGATGGTGATGGTCGTATGACCGCCGTGCGTGCCAGGCTTAAGATGCGCTAGCTAAATTCAGGATAGATGGCAGGTGTTCCAAGTCTTCCGCCAATGGTAGGATTTCGGTGGCATCAATTGTCAGGGCCGGTTTGATCACAGCTTCAGCTCTCGCATAGACTTACAAACATCTCAGCTTATTTGTGTATAATTTTATTTGTAGGTTGCAGTTACAAAACAAGATGGAATGCCTCTATCGGAAGCAGAGAGGAGAATGCCATTGTTTATTGTCGGCTCCGGAAACATAACCACTCATGAAATTCCAACCAGTGGGGTTGTAACGTACATGATTGAAACTATGAGTGATGATACTTCATTCAATTTACAGGTAATAGGACAAAAGAGATCATGTTTTTTATAGTTATATTCATTATTGGTACTTGAGTCTTTTTTGTAGGTATTCAGCTATCACTGTCTATATTCAATTTTAATATGTTTTACTATACAAAATTGTATTAAAATTGAATAATTTTTTAATTGATTTCTAACAGGCATGGTATTATACTGATGAAGAGTCAAATCAGAAAGCCTCCACTTACGTAGAAGTATCCGCGTCACCGAGCAATTCATTCATACAAATTGGCTTGGACACATCGCATTTGTCAGCAGGAAACGTTGCAACATTCACACTCCGCTCTACGGAAATCCCTCCTTTCATTGTATATCTGGTAACATGTTTGTTGAATTTTTCAGCCAATATTTGTCAATTGTTTTTTTATTTTAATATTTATTAGACTTGTAATTTTTATTATACATCTTTCATTCCTTCATTCATTTTTGGTTTATTCATAAAACATATTGAAATAGCAGTACACTGAATGTCTTCAATCGTGAAATCAGCATTTTCATTTGCACGTAATTTTCCTATCCCCTAGCAGGCACTAATTTGACCTAGTGCCTTGTATTTGTTGAGTCTTGTGTGCAAAAAGCCTAAAGCTGGGGTTTTACATCGCAATGAGCTTCATCAACCACAATCAATTCATTCATCTTCATCGTGTCAGTCAGTGTGCGTACTACTCACATATCATTTTCATAAGCGTAGCTAATATGCACACACACACAGTTTATGTATTGATCATGGCAAGTAGCAGTTTTCATTATATATGTAGCCTTATATACAAAACAGGGCGACTGACTTATAAAGCAATTATTGTCAAGTTATTTGGACCCTATAGGAAATAGAAGCCTTAGAAGCCATTATTTCCTTTAAAAATTGCCTTCAACCCTGTAGGCCTCATGCAATTTGTTCAGGAAATAATGGCTCCTTCAGCCTCTATTTTCTATTGTCCTCAGAACTTGACTATAATTGCATATTATTAATAGCATATTAATTTTTTTTTTTCAAAAATATTACAGGTACTATTAAAACAACTCTCATTATACAGTGTACTGCTTCTTTTTTCTATAATTCCAACAGGTCATATCTAAAAGCAGAATTTTTGCTATGGAAACCCTCTACGGTCTGCAATCCACCCAAAATAACTTGACAGTTGACATCACCCCGGATATGGCACCATTAGCCAAATTGGTGGCTTACTATGTTCGAGGAGATGAAGAAGTTGTAGTTGATGTGTTTAACTTTAATGTTGATGGGGCGTTTAAAAATATGGTGAGTCTATTTTGTGAATACTCACCTAAATGAACAGACAATGCCAATTACCTGTCAGGGAATTACCTTGAAAATAATGGAATCTTCAATAATGATAAAGAGAATTTTCTATACATTTTTTACTTGGTAATAATATTAATTTCTTTTTCATCCAGTACATTGCAGCTGTTATAGTAGTGATAACTAATATTCTTATTTACTCAATACAAAATAAGACTTCTAGAATATATTTGTATATTTCATATATTTGTACCTATTAATATATTCTTCTAATCAGGTTAGCCTATCGTTCAGTAATGAGGTTGTTAAACCTGGTGACAGCATCACTGTTGACGTTACAGCAACCAAAGGATCGCTTGTTTACCTTTTGGCAGTCGATCAGAGTGTTTTACTTCTAAAATCTGGCAATGACATCACTCAACAAAAGGTAACAATATAATAGTGATAGCAATATTAATAAACATATGCATTATATTAACAATAACTGCAATAAGGTATATTGATACTTTTTATTATTTTTATTTTTTTTTAAATTAGGTCTAAAAATTTCTTTAATGCACTTAAAGTATTTGTATAAACAGTTCATATCTAAAAGAGAATAAATTTATTTGGTATTAAATAAAAATATTAAATAATAAAATGATGTGAAATAATAAATTTATTGGAACAAAAAGGTAAAACAGAAAGCTACTGAATATAATAATTTTTTTACAGTTGGTGTAACTAGAAATAAATACATAATCTTTAGAAGAGTGTTCTCAGAAATGCAATCAGTATATCAATGTTTTTCCACCGACAGACACTGTATGTGCATATCTAATAATTGCTTCAAATACTGCTTCAGAATTAAGTGACTCTAGAATATGTACCAGTAAACCCAGAATGTACATTAATGACCAAGTTAACACAAGATCATTGATTTAGAAACCACACATTTCTAAAACTTGATAATTTTTATGGTCAATGACAGCCAAGTGTCTTCCAACATGAAGGTACAGTAGCTTGTGGAACAATTATGTATGATAGATTATAATTTTCATTGAATGCTTTCAGGTTCTCAGAGAATTGGAAACCTTTGATGAAACTAATGATGGTGGTATAATTGATGGTCCCATCTTTTTCGATTGGTACTTTCCATTCCCAACTTCGGGTACAACTGCTGAAGATATGTTTGCGGTAAGTATACAAGATCAGTGATAGAAAATTTGTGTTCTTTGTTCGACGTATCAACTCAGCTGACATCATCTTACCTCAATTAGCTGCCAGCTTCTCATTTTGACTGTCAATCGCAAAATCACCTATTTCGTCAAGCAACTAGAACTAGTTATTAATACCCAGATCGCATATGTCGCTGCTGACTTTAATTGGTCTACAAATTCAGTAGTTGCCAAACAATTGCTACCGTAAGTTGATAAAATGTTAGTGCAAGCATGACACCTAATGTCACATTCAATGGCTTGTCAGTTTTTTGGGGGGATCACAGCAAAATAGAACATGTGCTACTAAGAGCAGTGGACAATATAGAAGTGCTTTAAATGTGGCAAAGACAAGCCAATAAACCAGTCACTAGTTGCAAATCCTGTTTCAGAGATAATGGCCAAAACATGATGGAAAGAAACATTTTTAAATCTATTTTATTGCACTAAACTAACCTTTTTATAGGAAAATATATTTTGCTATGCTGTCATTTTCCTGATTTTTAACGATTTGGCGATGGTTTCTGCCTGAGGAATGCCCAAAATCAAACTTTGAAGGCTGATTTTTCAAAATTGTTCTTTAAACACATGAACGTTATGTAAACTCCTGTAACTTCCTGTAACTTCCCAACGGAATGTTGGATTTTAATGATTCTTTTACCATTTTATAGCTCTGATTTTACTGTTTCACCCTGTAAAAAATCATAGTAATTTTTAGTGATCGCTGGTTTGACTTGTCTTTGCCACAAATGTTGCTTCAAATCATGTGACTTTCAGTTGTTCACATTACCTGCAAGTTGCTGGCAATTTATTAAAGGATAGTTGCTATAAGTGAAAATGAGTTGAGTCGCATGGGCAACATAAGCTTTACCATGTTGTGTATGGGATGCCATATATGTTGGTGTCTTGAACTACTGCACAACACTGCAGTATAATAAATGCCGCATTAAATATGACTTGACCTCATAACTTGTGTCAGTTTAAGGAGTAGGTTTTTTTAGTTTCATAAAATAACTTCAACTTTCTTTTTTCTCAAAATGTCCAACTCAATGAGCTCAATCACCAAGCGCATAGAGGCTTTTTCGCATGATGCGCTCTACAAATCCAACTATTATTCATTGTGCGTAAACTCCTATGTCTATTGCGTGAATACTTACTTGAGTGAACCGATATAAGCCAGATTCCTCATGGAACTTACCCACGAAAAATTATGGAATCGTCTAACCCAGGCGTATATAACGCATGAACGTTATGTAAAAAGCCTCAAATTTCCTTTTGCCGTGAGCGAGTGTAGTAAAAGCATAAGTAGTGAAACAAAGAGATTGTTCTAGAACAATTAAGCTACATGCTTTTGTTGTAATGTTTATTTAACGTTGAGGCCTTTTGAAGCATTTGTCTTCCCAAAAGTCTTCCTGTGTTTGTGGTGGGCCTAGGCCTAGCCCTAATTTGAATCGTCGCTCGGAATATCCTAACACAGAAATCTTGAATCTAACTTGTATTTTTTAGAATTCTGGGGTTGTGGTGATAACTGATGCTGAAATACCTAGTAGACCAGATATTTATTATTATTATGGTAAGTTTTCAAAATATTTGTAATAATTAAAATAGGTTACTTTACTTGATGTTATTTTTTTTACAAATTAGTTGTGCATTTAAGTGTTTCTTTTTTATATTATGTGTGTAAATTTTGCATATCGATTTTTTAAGTTGCATGTTGCATGTTGTATACCTGAATAATTAAATAAACAAATAAATAAAATGGTTAGCGCAGTTTATCATGCAGTGGATAGTATCAAGTCAAGAAACTAAGTCTTGGTGGATCCCACCTGACCCCAGCATACTGCCCTGTCGAACAGCTGCATGTGGATGGCCTCAGGAGACAACTGTGCTGTCCTAATATCGCACAATTCACCATCGTATGCTTAGTAATTTATATTTTGTATTTATTATTAATTTTTTATCGGAACAAACAAAGTATTCTAATTACCAAGTGATTGTAAGTCCTTATTGTTTTGATGGGTATTATTAAAAATAGCCTATGAATCTGTTTAAAACGTATCCCAAAAGAAACTAACTTAACTTTCCACAGAACTGTAAAAAGTTCATAGTTTACCATGTATTATTATTTTATAATTTCTTTGTAAAGGGCAAAATGTAGTATGCACTATATAAATATAACTATATTATTATTATTATTATTATTATTATTATTATTATTATTATTATTATATTTTTGTTATTAATATTATTATTATTAATATTA